ACATCTCACACAAGAAAGTTCGCGCACCGACCTCAGCCGGCTTTGTTTGCAACTGTGGACGCACTCGTAGAATACTGCGACCGACATCGTGTGCCTATCACAACACGTTCGGCGCCCGCAAGCTGCGCACGTGACTCACGCCTCGGCAATGTCTCGCAACACAGCAACCAAGAAGGCCATGTGTACACGGTCTACACTGCCGCAGACAAACGTTTTTTGCGATTCGAAATCGTGCCCTACGACTTCGAATTGGAGTAACATGTAGTGAGTGCAGTAAGACCTACCATCCCAGGTGTGTGAACTTAAATATAGCGAAAGAGAAATAATTACAGTGCACACCAGGCTCCATTTGGTTCTGTGCAGTGTATGAATAACCTACTAGTAGGGTGCATCGCCGTGCTGGCTTAGAAATGTAACCAACTGCCAGCTATTGTGCATGGGAACTCGATTCCCATTGCCAAAATATATGTTCAAACGTGAAACATAATATCCAAAAGCAGTGTGTAGTTAACAATGTAAAGCCAGGAACCCTAACCACGAGAACTAGCAGCCAGAGTCTGTCAACCCCGATAACCCCAATTTTGCAGAGAGTAATTTCTCCCGGGGATATGTCTGTCTCACATGACACTTGCACTGCCGAAACTCTGACAACTTACGCCTCTGTCGTTGCTGCATCCAAACCCGGGACAAGTTTATTGGGTATATCTGCAACTACTCCAATGGGTGTTAGGGATGACACTACCAATACGCCTCTGCGAATACCGCCTACCACAACATCAGTAAAAGGAGGCAACATCTTATAAAAAATTACGAACTTTAAGGAGACACAACTCGATGAAGATAATCTGCTCCAACATGCTTGAGTCAACGGCAAACTCTATTAAAGACACTCCTGGATGACGAAAGAATGAAAAAGCATATGCCAAAGTATGGGAACCCAGACCAAACAGGCTAGCTTCTGTCGTATCGTCCGCCACCCAAATTCAGTTCACTATGGCGACTCAAGGCTGCTTCAGGTGGTATTTCAGTCGGGTGACGAAGCGGAGACCATCCTCTTGTCAGCTCACCGTCTTCGTGATATGCCATGCGGCGTTCGTGTATTTCCTGACATCCCTTGGAGTGCGCGTCGGCAAAGGAAGAAATACTCAGGAGAGTACCGCAAGCAAACCGACGAAAGATCGATATTTGTCCATGGTGTCCCTGAAATCTAGTCATCCGACGAGTTGCAGGCCCAAACTCATGATTTGGAATAATGGCGCTGCATTCTTGAAACTGTCTCTCTCCATGACGTGATTACCAACTCAACGTTAAGGTTACTCATACTACCAAACTATAAAGGAAGTGGTCCAAGGGTGTTGAAATATGCTCTACTCCACACATATGGTTGAAAGGTTGATCCTAAGTTAGCACAATTTACGCACCAAGCTGCCATCAGAGATACGTCTGAAGGCGTTCGAAGCCAAGTCACTATTGGATGAGGGATCACAAAACCAGTGAGAAGTTGCTGCTAGCCCCGCTGTCTGCATTTTCGAACAGGAACGCAGTAAAAGTCCCCGGCTATCCGGAGAGTAAGGAACAGACAATCCGTTGCAAATCGCTTCTAAAGGACTAGGTAGTGGGTGCTCTATGCAACAGATCGAAATGCCACGAGGTGTTGACAAGAAATATATCCAAAAGACGACTGTCAGCCGGCCCCACATGGGTCGGCGTAAATTCTCGGGAAACCTAAGTATGTTAAAATACACTTCTGGCATCCGTTGCTCTCAGTTGTTTGTATACGAACGCCAAAGAGCTTCTCAGTAAATTGGCAGAATTTCGATCTCGTCAAACCTTAATGTATTGGGACCTCGACATTGTAACCGAGACAGGGCTGAACGACTTGATTACCTACGCCGAGATTGTACTACCTGGTATGTCACTTCTGCGCAACGACAGACCCACAAAGGGAGGCGGTGTAATTCTGTACTACCGTTCCGACCTTCTCATCGAGCGCGTAAACGACCCTGGGATTCAGACTGTGGACGTCCTATGGTGCTGCCTACACCTGAAGCAGAGCGATAGATACCTAGGGGTCATTGTATACCGCCCACCAATGTCCACTTTAGAAATGAATCAGGCCCTATCTTCCGCTATGAAGAATCTACTGGAACAATCTTACAGTCACTTTCTCCTGGTAGGGGACTTCAGTCGGCACGGCCTAGAAACCCCGGCCACTAGGTGAATAATTCAAGGCGGGTCTGCAAGAGCTAATCACTGGGTCTCTGCTGTATTACCACGCCACTACTCCAACGCGTTTTAGGACAGGAAACAAATCGGCCATCTTGAACCTCGTTCTTACCAACGAGGAACTCATGATCGACGTAGCAACGACGTGCACTCCTTTAGGCCGCAGCGATCACGCGACATTGGTGTTCCAACAGTTGTGCTATGTAGAGTATCATAAAGTAATGAGGAATCTTACGTTGTAACCAACTATAATAACTTGTCCGAACTCATTAGTCGACAAGCTTGTCTTTCTTAACTGCACGGTCCGCTGAAGTGGCCTGCGGGGAATTGGTCAATAGTTTCAACAGGCCCGTGGCAGGCACAACAGAAACCAAAATCCACCGACCCAAAAAGATGAAGTCGTTCCTAAGGAGCAGGACCCGGAAATGCATGGCAGTGAGGGACTTGGCATGGCACGCCCACATAGCCTCTCCGAGCGAGGATAGTTGGAGCGTCTATACAACACACACAGTAACCACTGTATCAAACTCGTCCGGGAGGATAAAGTAAAGTATCAACAAGATCTTGTGATAAAGTTTTCCCCCAACCTAAAGTTGATATACAGACACATAAACAAACCTTGCCGCGTTAAACTCGGGATTCCGGCTCTGTACACAGCATGCGAGTTAGCACAAACGGCACAAGAGGCAGTCAAGGGACTTGGACTACAATTTGGCCTTACCTTCCTGTGTGCAACCATCCTACACCATGACTACGTAGCTAATGCCGCCATCAGGTCTTAACCACATATCATTCACAACCGCAGCTGTATTGAAGCGGCTGATGTCCTTGCGCGAATACAGCTCCCCGGATGTGGACGGTATTCGCCCGAAGGCATTGAAAGTGGCCGCCATGAGCTTAGCGGAAACATTAGCAACATTCAGCGATGTCTTAATGAGGTGCACAACCCCAAGATGTGGAATCACGGGATCATCACTCCAATCTACAAAAGTGGTAGCCCTGCAGAACCGGCGAATTATCGTCCGATTGCACTTCTTCCGGTTATCTCCAAGATCATGGAGCCCATCGTATCTGAGGCGCTTATGGAGTACCTAGAGAATAACAAGGTCCTCGTTCCGGATCAGCACGGATTTTGCCGAAATCGGTTCTTCATCACGAATCTGTTGATAGCTCGCGCAAGTTGGACGCAATGTGTGGACGCCGATGTAGGAGTGGATGCAGCCTATCTGGACTTCTCAAAGGCATTCTACTGCACAAACTTCAGAATTATGCTGTCGACGATCCCGTTTATGGATGGTTAAGCGACTTTCTCGTTCAACGTCCCCTGAATGTGAGGGTTCGCAGCATCCTGTCTGAACCAACCGAAGTTCAGTGCGGCGTACCTCAGTGCTCGGTACTCGGGTCACGCCTATCACTGGTTTTCATACATGATTTCGCAACTCTATTATCTTCAAAATTTCTGCTATTTGTAGGTGATCTGATGATATGGCGTGCTATCGCCTCAGTGGAGTTTCACAGCCCTACTAGATGACCTGGAGAAAGCGTACACATGATCCATCAAGGACATGCTGCATTTCACAACAAAGTGCAACATTCTGAACAGTCGCCATCAGAATACTCACAATTACTGCCTAGGACCAGAAACTCTACAGCGAGCTTCTCATGAGTGCGACCTTGGCGTGCATGTGCAAGAGGACCTTGGGTGTTTAAGTCAGACTGAAAAGGCCTCAAAGAAAACAAACCAACACTTCTTCGTAGAGCTTTCAGGAAATTTGACGCCTCAATCTTTTCGTAAATGCTTGGCGCGTACGTGAGGCCGCACACGGAAGACGTTATTCAAGCGTGGCAACCTTGACAGAAGCAGCACCTCACCACGCTCGATACCGCACAACGCAGGGCGATAAGGAACGTTAAAGGTTTGTCCCGCCTTCTCTACCCACTCAGACTGAAAGCCCTCAAAATATGCAGCGGACGTCACAGGCGTCTAAGAGTCAATCTCATACTGGTGTATTAGCTCCTGAGAAACCCCAACCACACATGCCATACTCTTTTGAAACTCAATCAAAACCCATCTCTAAGGGATCATCAGTTTAAGCTGGTCACGCAATGCAGCCGATAGGAATGTCGACGAAACTTCTCCCTCCGAGTGTAACAACCTTGGAACGCCATCCCGAAACGTGTAATTAATGCTCCTACTTTACCCCTTTTCAAAAAATACATTCACGATACTCTGACACACTTACACTACGTGATATAGCCTGTGCTACTCCAAACCCTTTGGTGAGTCATGTATTTCACACGTTCTTTTACTGATAAGGTTTTTTATTTCCATTTTTACTCTCACCATCCTACGGGACATGTCAAGCATTCGCTTTTGTATCCGTCATAAACCATTGCTCCATTGTAGTTCCGTTTTGTTGGTTACTTTAATGTTTTGTCCACTACCTATGATTACCATTCATTCTTGACTGGGCAATTTAGTTTGCTTGTACCAATATGACTCTATGTTTGTATCCTATCGACTTTCGGCCGCTTCCTCCGTGTCTTGTATCCAGTGACTCATTTATCACTTTCACGATTGGTGGACGGTCGTCTACATTCCATTGACTCACTTGAAATGTTGCCCGCTCACCGTCGGCACAATTCGTCGTACTTACTCACACTCTGCTCTCCTTGTTCCACATCAGCGTGCCTTTGTTTCACAGATTGTCTCCAATGGTTAACACTTCTGATCGTCACTTGGCATCCCTTTTCCTTGTAGACAATCCTGCAATATGTCTCAACATCCGTCCTCATTGGACACCGACACGAGTGTGCCAGTTGATGTGGCAGGTTGTGGAAGGTACAGTACCAACAAAGCAGGGATGCAAGGTCTGGACAAGGCCACCATTATGCAGATAATTTTAGAAAATTCAAAAGGTATTCACATTTTTTGCTTGTTTGCTCCTTTACAGATTTTAACTGTTACGCGTAACGCGACACAAGGAGGCTGTTTCCTTCTAGCAGTCTAACGTTACTAAATAGGGTGTACAATTAATTGAAAATTGCTCGGGAGAACCAAACCGATGGTACCGAGGGTTACTTGCAGTGTTTTTAATTTCTTACCTACCCAATTGAAAGGCAGAATGCGAATCCCCGCGACCGTTTGATGTTCGGCCTCCCTACTGGTTTGTAACCATCGCAATGAGGCTGGACCTTACCGTGGTGCGATGGTTTGTGTGCCTCAGCGATCCATTGAGCTACGCTGGGTGGTGCTTTTTTTTGCACCTTCAGTGCCACTCATACCAGATTGGTCAATCGTTAGAGGCCAGACAAACTCAGCCTCATGGTCCTCCAGGTTGGGGGTTGAAATGAGGTGCCCATTCCTTAAAACGGACTCCTTGTAGCCAAACCCGCTGCCTTGCGGTCAAGTTTTTGAACCAAAGGCTTTGGTTGAGAACCCTAATCGTTCTCCTGTCTAGGCCTGGGCAACCTGACAGTATCCTGCCCAAGCGATACCATGAGTTTCCCTTCAAACAGCTTCTTGATGCTCTGTCCACCACAGAGGATAATCAACGGTGCCTTACTGCATCGAGCATGCTGGATAAGGGTTTGGATGCTACTGCTCAGACCTTCCCATCTTGTCCCTCTTCTTACGCTTTTCCTCTCCTACCGTCCCGTTCCAGCGTCACTTTTATCCCCCATTTTCAATCTCCTAATTCTTGGTCATCCTCCACATTGTCTTGCTTGGCTTTTACCTTCTACTTTTAACTCACATGTAAACGGGGAGCGTCATTCCTGTCCTCTCGACAAACCCATGTCCAACCAAGCGGCCCTTCGAAGCCCTCGATCATTCTTCAGCTTGGCATGTCTCAATGTATGCACATTGCTACAGATCGATCAACAGGCAGCACTTGCCCGATCATTAGAGATCCTCTCGATCGATATCTGCTGCTTATCTGAGACTTGGCTGAATGACTCCAGTTCCGTGCTCACTTTGCGATTTCCTTCCAATGACACCAGCAGCACTTTCTCATTGTGCCTATCCGGTGAGGATGCAGCTTCGAGCACCGGCCAAGCCGGTGTTGCTATTGCCCTGAGTCCCCGGGCTGAAGCTACTCTGGTTGACTGGATTGCAATCAGTAGCCGGTTGTATGCGGTCCGATTGGCTGGCTCGTTCAAAGCTTCGAAGTCACACGGGACTAACAGGTGTCGATTCGTTATCGCTGCCTATGCATCCACAAACTCTAGAGATCACTCGGTAAAAGACGACTTCTATCGCTAATTGAACGAGCTCCTACGCCACAGAAGAAGCTCGGACACTGTTGTGCCTGCTGGGGATCTGAACGCTCAAATTGGAATATTATCCAATGATGAACTACATCTGGCTGCCAACATGGTGTAGGTTTCCGTAATGATAACGGTGAGCGGTTACTTCATTTGTGTGAAGATGCTCGCTTATTTGTTGCGAGGACTTATTTCCACCACAGCACCCGCTGGAGGGTGACTTGGCACCCACCAGCTATGGAAACAAATCGATCATGTTGCGATAAGTTACCGATAGAGAGGCTGCGTCCAGAACTGTCGCTCGATTTGGAGCACAGGTGTGGACACCAACCATGCACTGGTGTGTGCTGACCTGCGGATACGTTTTGGCGGACGCCCAAGACGACGTTGTGAGCGCATTGACACCAGCCAACTGGCGAAACCAGCTGTTCTGAAAGCCTGTCAATGTACGCTGTCGTACGAGTTGAGTAAGCGCTCACTGGATGCAGTTGAAGCTCACTGGTCTCATATTCACCAGTCCTTACTAGCAGCAGGCGAATCCTCATGTGGTAAGTCTAGTCGCCAACATGGACATCGGGTCTCTTCGCGGTCTCTGGAACTTATCGATGCTCGGCGGCATATTCCGGCTGGAAGCGAACACAAAGAAACTCGCTAAGGACTCCTTGCAAAGCTCCGTGCTAGCCTGAAGAGAGACTGCGAGTCCTGGTAGTCTCATCGTGCATCAGAGATGGAAATGGCCGCTGCCGTTGCTAACCATCGTAAGTTATTCCGTGTGATACTGGAAACGGGCAGCAGAAGACCTGGTGTTAGTGAAAGTATGCGTGACGATAGTGGACAACCTATCCACAACTTGTGAAAACGCTTGGAGCGTTGGGCTGAGCACTTTAAAAGGTAATTTAAGCGGTCGGAATTGTTGGAATTCTCGCCGGCCACTGATTGCCCCGCTCCGTGCGCTATCCCTTGGGATCCATAATCTCGCTCAGAAGTGGAACGTGAGATCGGACTTTTGAAGTTGAATAAAGCCGCGGGACCATATGATCTACGTCCAGCCCTCTTCAAATTTTGGGGGACATGGTCCTGTGGATGTTTTATATGAGTTACTAGTGAAACTGGGGGAGCAGGAAACTGTCTCAACCGACTGGAGCCGCTCCGTCATAGTCCCAATTTTCAAGGGAGACTCACGATCGGAGTGCGGCAACTATAGAGGAACCAATCTGATCTCCCTAGCCACCAACTTGCTTGCCTCTGTGGTCCTTCACAGACTGACTGGCACTTGTGAAAGCCATATTCGTGAAGAGCAAGCCAGGTTTCGTCGAGGTCGTGGCTGCATTGACCACATCTTCACCCTGCGTCAGTTATTAGGGCACCGCCACATATATTGGCGGCCCACCGTTGTCGTGTTCCTCGATATCCAACGTGCATTCGATTCTGTGAATAGCCGTGCACTTTGGGACTGTCTACTCAGGGAACGTGTACCTGAGAAATATGTGAATATTATCCGATCATTATACGCGCGTAGCTCAGGCAGAGTGAGGGTTTACGGCAAGCTGTCGTTGCCTTTTAATATCTCCAGCCGTGTGAGTCAAGGATGCCCACTGTCCCATTTCCTCTTCAACTTTGCTATTGACAAAGTCTTTGAAATCGCGTTCACAGGACAGGACAGACGTGCCAAGCGGCACTGGACAGATTAGCACTGGCTGTCAGCCGCTTCGGTCTTTGCTTTGTACCATCGAAGTGCAAAGCGTTCCTCCAAGATTGGCCTGGACCGCCTCCTGCGCTGACCGTTGGTGGGGATCAGCTAGAAGTCGTTCAAAAATGCAACTACCTGGGAAGTTGTATCAGCGCTCGTGGGATTGAGGATGAGATCACGAATCGTATAGCAAAAGCTCGAGGGGCTTTTGCTAACCTTTGCCACTTATGGCGCCGGCGCGACATCACTCTCGCCCTGAAGGGCAGAGTGTACAATGCATCGGTACGTTCGAGCCTACTGTACGGTTGTGAAACCTGGCCCCTTAGATCAACGGACATGAAGAGGCTAGTTACATTCGACCACCGGTGCCTTCGTAATTTAGCTCACATCTGGTGGGAACACCGAGTTAGCAACGAGCTTGTTCGACGCCTTGTTTACGGCACATGATAAGGAAATGAACCACTCAGCAGCGTTATTACCCGCACCAGGCTCCGATATCTTGGCCACATGTTACGCATGTCAGATCCCCGACTGCCGCGACGTGCGTTATTTTCGAGCCGGGGGTGTGGATGGAAGAAGAGGAGAGGTGGCCAATCGATGACTTTGTCGAGAGGAATGAAGGCCCTCACTTCTGAGCTGGCCTCGGTTGGAGCGTCTTGGCTCCCTGGTTGGGGTCCGAAAGACGGTGAACACGTTTGGCTGGATACACTTGTTGATATGGCTAGGAGCCGACCTCACTGGTTTTCGTGCTGTGAGTTTCTTTGTCCCACCCCATCCCTCTTAGCCTCCCGCTGCAATCACAATCTCCTTATTTAGCATTTTATAATTTTGCATAATGCATTATATTTTCTGCGGCTTCGTAGCCAGCTAGTAGCTTACCGGAACGATACCCATCCGTTACCGGTAGCTCGGCTGGCTTGCACCTGTTGCATTTTGTTCCCTTATTTTCTTTTAGGTCTTTCGGCACAGTAGCTGAGGTGTTTCCCACCTCTAGCTGACGTATATGGTGTGTGTGCTGGTTTGTAGGTAAGGATTGTTACGACGAATTGGACGATTTATTTGCGAAATGTCGTAGGAACGTACCAAAGAAAAGCTGAAAATGAATCACTCAAAATAAAAGTTACTGTCATGTTATGTTTTGAAGCTTAAGGGGGAATGTTAGACATCATTTTCCCCGGAAGCCACTTGACTTGGAAGAAGCGGACCTCTTGCAGTCACGAGATTCTCTTTTTGCGTGCTTTTAGACGTGTTCAACCCAGGCTTCCGTCTAGATTAGTGTTTGTAACTATAGGAACTAGTTAACTCGGTGTGCTTTTAGCCGTTGATACCCATGTAACCCGAAAAGTGTCAGTCTGTGCCGCGCAACCCACTGCACTAACTAATACTTTGCTTTAATGTCAAAAGTGCTCAATTGAATTCAATTTTCAATTCGCGAATGTGTTTTATACACTCATGAGGGTGGATAGTTAGCAGTCACATACACGCTTTAAGCATAGTAAAAGAAATAACGCAGTAAATACACAAGTAGAATAAAAAGTGGCAAAAGCAGCAATATGGTTACGGTGCAAAATTGTTTTTAAGCCCCAGAGCAACTGATGTCTATTCGCAAAAAAACTTGCTTGATATGGAATAACGGATGAGTAGTAAGCTTGTGCGGGATAAAGTGGATCTATACTTTTGTCTGATTGAGGATGTTGTTACAGTGTTATAGATGAGGGAACGCCGCCTCTGTTATGATTGCGTAACGCCTGATAAGATTGTCACTGGCACGGTTGGAGCACGCCTACGATAACGGCTTGTAACATTGGCCAATCGAACAGAGTTTCGCTGACCTGATGACGTTAGCTTAGCCGGTGAGACGGAAATTGAGCGAGCGTGAGAACGATCCTAGCCGCAAGTATTCGGGTAGACGCTGAGCCCTGGGAACGGACGCCCACGCGAGGGGGTTACGGTAGATGCGTAC